GAATATTAAACACTTTTTTGTTAGTTTTTGGACAGGGTAGAAAAACCTTTTTATTTGGAGTTGATAAGAGAGAGTTGTTGGATGGGCTGTCAGCCTCTTTTTTTCCCAGAGAAGGTATTCCTTGGAAAACTAATCTCTAGAGATGCTCTTTGCACAAATAATGAAATAAGTTTGGAAAATACTGTATCTTTTTCTTAAGAGATGCTCCCAGTACATTAAAAGATCTGAGAAACTCTATAGTAGTTTAAAACAAAAAATAGACAAGCAAAACCACTTTTAAAATCCAGAATTTTCCAAACTGAACACACAACCTTTCTTTGAGGAATTCCTGTCGACATCCTGGGAAACTGGTATTCTATGAATATAGTTTAGAAAATGCTATTCTAGAGTTTCTAGGACTTGACTTTTTAACTTAGGAGACTTTTACTTTTAAGCCCATTTGACTGACTTTCCTTGAAACTACTTGGCTTGATTTATAAAATCTTAGTTGGAAATTGAGTTTGGGGGCGTGTCTTTTTATGTGCTAATCTAAGATATGGTCCCTTCCTTGCCCTGACTTTTTTTTTTAAGGATTTTCTTTTTTTTTTTTTTAAAGAGCAGCTTTAGGTTGACCGTAAAATTGAGTGAAAAGTATAGAAAGTTCCCATATGTCCTCTTCCCTCCGCAAAACACATACCCTTCTCCACTATCAGCACCCTCCGCCACCAGAGTAGTACATCATTTGTCACAGTCAACCTACATTAATACATCATTATCACCCAAAGTTTACATTAGGGTTCACTCTTGGTGTTGTACATTCTGTGGGTTTTGATCAATGTATAATGACATGTATCCACCATTATAGTATCATACAGAATATTCTCAATGCCCTAAAAGTCCTCTGTGCACTGTCTGTTCATCTCTTCCTTCCCCCAACCCTTAGCAGCCATGGATCTTTTTACCGTCTCCATAGTTTTGCCTTTTACCCTGATTGCTTTTGTAGTCTAATCTTGTTGTATGTTATATCTAGTCTTTCTTTCCACACCAGGTTCATTCAGCGTAGCCCTGTCACCTTGCTGAGGAGCCAGGTAGTCATCCCTATCTTACAGTGGGCCATTGCCTCTACTACCTTGGACCACCGAGATGCCAATTGTAGTGTCATGAGGTTCCTACGAGACCTCATACATACAGGGGTAGCCAATGATGTAAGTGTTAACATTGTTCCTTTTCTACTTCACAGCTTATTATTTTCTATCTCTTCCTCTTTCTTTAGGGGAAAACCAGTATCCCATTATTTCCTTATCTGATCAATACTAGTAGACATATACCATAGCTGGATCATTCACTAGCCAAAATGTCAACTTAGATCTAAGACACCTGTGCTGACTGCTCTATGGTGTACAAAGCAGTCTAAAACTACCCCTGCTCCCAAACCATTTGGTGTCTGGTTAAAGAGATAAACAAGTATAAAGAATTAAAATGTAACAAGAGACCAGTATTTGATTGTCAGATGAGTGATAAAAGTCATGATTGGGGGTGGAAAGCTCTGGACAGAAGTGGGTTGGAATAACTTTCTGGAAATGAGAGACTTAAATGGGGCCATAGGATAGGGGTAGAATTTGTATGAATTAGAGGAGGGTAGTCTAACTGGGGTATAAACCAAGATCAGAGCAAATCAGTATAGTACTAAGTGTTAGTAGATAATTAGGAGACCTTTTTGGAGGAATAATAAAGTGGTTCACAGGATTTTCAAAGGTTGATTTGGCTAGATGTAGAGTAGAGTAGAATTGAAGATAAGGGAGAGCAATGAAGAAGTATATTCACTTATACATTCTATTCAGGCTAATTATTTAAGAAGTCTGGTAGTAAAAGGTGGCGAGAATAAAACAACTAGAAGTGGAAGGCGGTTTTTAAAAAGTTATTTTTCTCAAGATATTAGAAATATGTGTATTTAAAGATTATAAAGAAGGAAGAAAATCAAGATTTTTTTGATAGAAAAGATATCAGATATCTTTGATTCTTATTTCAGTTGGTTGTTTTTAAGGGGAAATAGGGACACAAGTTATTTTTCAAAGAAAAAAAGATTAATAAAATGTGATTTTATTTCTTTTCTGCCTTCTGATCATGAAAAATCTAAGCATTAAGGTTAATCTCAGGTGAAACCTATACCCATTGCCTTGTTACTAAACTCTTACCTTTTCTTCCTAATGACAAAACATTTTGTGAACTTCATGAATCCAGCTATTTTAACACACACATTACACACTCACTCTTCCCTGGCAAAGAGAAGTTACTAGACTAAAGGGGAAAGAGTATTTGATCTTTGGAAAGTTGAGACTAGAACTTCTATAATGCTCCTGCTTTATTACAGCATGAAGAAGACTTTGAATTACGGAAAGAGCTGATTGGACAGGTGATGAACCAGCTTGGACAGCAACTTGTGAGCCAGCTGCTCCACACATGCTGCTTTTGTCTCCCCCCCTATACCCTACCAGATGTGGCTGAAGTGCTTTGGGAGATCATGCAGGTTGACAGGCCGGTAAGATTGTTTTCATAAGGAATCTATCTCATAGTCCCTAAATCTAACAGGCTTTGGTTCCTTAAGGCCAATCCTAACTTTGAAACAAGCCCTGTTGTATGTCCATGGAATCAAATTTAGGGATATTGCTAAGTTTAATTGGTAGATGAAGGTGCCCATAGAAGGCTAGTAATTCATTACTGGGTTCTTGAAAGTATGTTTGTGTGTCACTGTCATGGGGTTCATATATTACCAGAAATAAGTACTAAGCATGGAACTCAGCTTTGTGGCTGACCAATGGAAAATTTGTTCACTTGTGAGACATGCCTGTATATCAGTTACATGGAGTTGCAGGTTATTCAAGAAATGTTTAATCATTTCAGATTCCTTATATAGCACTGTGTTTTTCCTTGGTAATAAATATAGCCAGAGCAGGTAAGTGTCAACCTAGCCCATAATGTACTCTTGGATTTATTTTCTCTTTGGATTTATTTGCTCTTCACCTGAGAATGGAAGGGTTTTTTAAGGCTATCTGATAATGTCCAAGTAATTTCTATGCTGGGCCATATGATCGTAAATCAGGTTATATGTACTCAGTGAAAGTTGAACAGAGTGGCAAAGTATAATATATCCTGTAAACTATTTTTAAAATAGGGTTTAGATTTTTTAATATTAATATAAAAGCAGTTCAGGAAAGTACACATTGGACCTAGTTAAAGTGAGCTATCTTCTAGAACCACGGAATATATAATAGATAAATAATGCATAATGGATAGTACATATAGTTCCCATTGCTGCTTGTTTGATGCACATGTTCCATTTCAATCTAATGCAGTAGCATTTTTGTGTTTTCCTAAAGAAAGTACTCTTTGGGCCCAGGGGTCAACAAATTTAATTCCAGAAGTTCTTGACTTGAGAAATAAAATCTCCATGCTCTGCTTAAACTTTTTTGTAATTATACGTGGTTCCCAGGTAACAGAAGACTTACTATTTAAATCTAACT